CCAACTCAACCAACCAAAACAGAAACAGAAACGAGAGAAAGAGAAAGAAATAGTGGCCCGTTCGAACCGATTTTTTTTATCCTATTCTACCTAACCCCCTTCTTCCTCACCCACACCTCTCTCAAACCCCACCACACTCACACTGTGTTTTTTTCTTTTTTTTTTCTACTTTTCAACGGAGTTGATCTCAGATAGCGTTATTAGACGCCTACCATAAGAAATTAATTAAATCGTCGACGGTTCTTATTCACTCCCACCCCCTCTCGTTTTCTCTTTCTCTCTCTCTCTCTCTCTCTTTCTTATGGTTAGTCATTCTTAGTCATATCGTTGCTTAACATAAATATAAATCGGATTAAGCACCCTTGTCAACGGGATTATATGCGTCAACGGTGTCAGAATATCTTTCTATCTCTTTTTTTCTATATGAAGAATCATTTTTATCCATGAATTCCTCCTCCTCTTCCTCCTCCTCCTCCTTCTCCTCCTCCTCCTCCTCCTCATCATCATCATCATCATCATCATCATCTTTCAATGGATATGGGCCTAAAGACTTACTTAATACTCATTCTTTAACTATTTTCATGAATTATATTTTAGTCTATATTTATTATATATTTTTATTATTTTATTATATTTTATATTAATTTGTTTATATTATATTTTTATATATTTGTTTAATTTTTATATTATATTAAAATTATTATATATTTTTAATTATTTTATTATATTTTATATTATTTTGTATATATATCATATTTTTATATATTTGTATAATTTTTATATTTTTATATTAATTATTATTTATTTTTATTATTTAATAATTATTTAATAATATTATTATTACCAATATTATAAATATAATTATATTTAATAATTTGTATTTAATAATATTATTATTAACAATATTTATTTACTTCCTTTTGTTACTTATCGAACAATTAAATTAATAACAAATTAAAAAATTCTTTTATCCTACACAATTGACCAATAAAAATTTTGTTTAAACAATGTTGAAATATTACAAAATTAAAAAATAAAATAAAATAAAATAAAAATGAAGTTAAGAAAGTAAAAGAGAGAGAGAGAGAGAGAGAGAAAGAGAGAGAAAGAGATAGAATGTTAAAGAAAAAATGTCTAGATGGTGGAACCGGTCCGTATATCTGGGTAGAAGAAGGTGGGAAAAGGGGGATGGTGGTGGGTGCCTCGATCGGTCGTTATAAATGCCCACGGTAAGGCTGTTAAGCGATACAAGCTTGCAGTATTGCGGGTGGCCACCTTCCGCGCGACCCATCCACCAACCACCACCACCACTACCACCATAACCATCACCACCGATCGTATATCGGCAAGTACAACTTCGTTCTACCGTACGCGAGTATGGAGACGTTATCCTCTTTGCATACCTTTTTTTATCCCTTTCCTATCCCACTATTTTTTTTCTGTTTTTTTGTCTTTCAAAGCACATCGTTGGATACACACATCCCTCTATTTGTACTCTGATCATTTTTTTTGTTCACTTTTTTGCAATCTGAAAATTATAATTACACGAAGGGGTGGAGAAAGAGTAAAGGGATTATGTTCTAAAGTATGATAGTATTGCGGATGTTTGTAAAAATATAGTTTTCTTGTTAATTATATTATCGAGGAACAAAAAGGGGTGGGAATATTAATTCAATTGATTGGGGTTACTCTAACTGTTGAAAAATGGCGGATAAAAGTAATATAAATGAGGGGGTGTAAAATAAAAAAAAAGAAGACAGTGTCAGGGATGTTTGTTTCCCTAGTAGTCATATAAATATTTAAATTGTGAAGAAACAAAAAGGGTTGGAATATAAATTCAATTGATTGATTACTCACACAGTTGAAAAAAAGGGGTAAAAAAATAATACAAATGAAGCTTGTAAAATAAAAAAATAAAAATAATTAAAAAAAAACCGCAACTATCGGTTGTTTACGATTTACAAAAAAAAAAATGATTTTGTGGGGTATTCGAAAATGAATGAACCAGAAAAAAAGAAGGAAAAAAATGAAAGAATTAAGAGTAGGAGTAGGAGTAGGAGTAGGAGTAAAAGGAGGAGTTGGAGGAGGATAAGGAGGAGAGGGAGGTGGAGAAAGATGGAAAATATACGCGACACATACAGGAACGTGTTATCGAAGCTATGCCAACCCCTTAAATCAGCGGAAGGTAGGTAGTCTCCGAACAAGTAAAAAGGACAGAAGGTGAAGTACAAAAAAAAAAAAAGAAAAGCAAAAAAGAAAAGATTCCTCTCGTTCTTTCCTTCTTCTTCATCTTCTTCTTCTTCTTCTTCTTCTTCTTCTTCTTCTTCTTCTTCTTCTTCTTCTTCTTCTTCTTCTTCTTCTTCTTCTTCTTCTTNTCTTCTTCTTCTTCTTCTTCTTCTTCTTCTTCTTCTTCTTCTTCTTCTTCTTCTTCTTCTTCTTCTTCTTCTTCTTCTTCTTTTTTTTCAACTTGTATCTGTTCGTCTTGACGAAAGAAGAGAGAGAAAACATGCGCATGCAGATCACGTCGGTTGTAGCAAAGTGATAGCGTATCTGTGGGCGGCGCGTGCGTGTGGTCCTCTTCGTGTTCCTCCACTTTCTCTCTTTTCCCCCACTCTTTTCTTCTTCTTCTTCTTTCTTATTATTATTCACGATACCACAAAAAAAAATAAAGAAAGATAGATAGAAAAATATTTTTCCCAATAATCGACACATTTCCACGATATATGACACACATATATGTATACATAATAACTATTACTAATACTAATATTATAAATACAATATAACTAAATACTATTAATATATAATATTATAATATAACAACTAATATACTTTATATATATATATACTAAATCACTAACTAGTTATAATAATTTAAATATAATAATTATAATATATATATAAATTAATTATATTAATATATTAATTAAATAATATATTAAATATTATATCAATAAATACAATATAATATTTAATATCATTTAATATAATAATTATAATATAATAATTTTTTATATATAATAATTTAAAATTAATAAGTTATTACTAATATATAATATATATATATATATATAATATTAATTATTATTCTAGGTATTATATAAATATTCTAATTATATACCTATATATAAATTTTTAAGTAATTCCAAGAAAGAGTGAGAGAGAGAGAGAGAGAAAAAAATAATTGTGTTTATACGTATATACACAAGAAGACATATGTATGTCTATATATATATATCGATAATAAATAAGATGCTTTGTGAAAGAAAATTTATGGATATTTCCATATACGAAGAAATCTTAACTTTCCCTATGCGGTGTTCAAGTTTCTGCGGTTCCTACAACATTTACCCTTTTCCTTACTCTTCTTCCTTTAACTGTTCGTCTCTTTTTCCATATAGTATATCCACCCTAGTTGGAGAAGAAGAAGATTCCTTCAAAGGTTCTAGTCGTTACCTTCTGTACCTTTGAACACGTATGGATACTTTTATACTATATTTTTGACCACGTGCGTTTGCGGTAGACAGTCTCGCCCGTAATTCGCGGTAAAACGTCCGCCGTTAGGAATTTATGAAAGCGCCTCGCGGTGGGCAGGATTACGTTAGCGTGCTTATACACATACGAACACACATACACTTATACCTAACAACTTTGTGTACAAGAGTATAAGAGTATGAATAAGAAAGAGTCAGAGATAGCACACGCAATGTGGCTCCTCTTTTTACTATACGAGTGTATAATACATTTATATATTACTGTATGTGTGTGTGTATGTGTATGTCGACCGGTCGTGCGACATTCTCCTTATCGACGAGCGTCCAAGAACTCCCTGAAATAGCGTCTCCTCATCGTCGTTGTCGTCGTTGTTGGAAAAGGAAAAGAACCGACGTCCAAAATCGGCGCGAGTCTTCCACCTCCTCCTCCTCCTCCTCCTCCTCCTCCTCCAACTTCTTCACCTCCTCTTTCTTGAACCTCCTTCTTCTTCTTAACCTCCTTCACCTACCTCCTTCATCCCACCACACCCCACTCCACCCCAATGGAGAAAAGAAACGTAACCCTAGACGCATCGCGGTGTCATGTCCTGCGCACCTGGCGGTCCGGTTCTTTGTAACACGATACACGCGTTTCTTTCTTCCTACCTTTCCTTTTTCTTATCCTCTTCTACTACTCAGCTCTTGGACGTTCGATATACGTTCTGAGGATTAAATGTGAAAAAAAAAATAATCAAGTATCTTAAAAAAAGGTCAGAGAGATAATAGGAAGAGAAAGATAGAGAAAGAAATGAAAATGTGAAATCTAATAAAAAAAAAATTGAAGAAAAGAATTTGGAATTTTTGTGTCACAACCTGTCTCTCTCTTTCTCCTTTGAAGAGAATTATTTTTTTTATTTTGTAAGACTGCACCCCCTCCGTCACCCGTCATCTAATCCCTTGTCACTCAAAAATCGTATTTAAAGTAAGCAATTTTTTTGGTTTGTTTATTGTTTTTGTCTAGGAATGTGTGTTCTTTGTTTTGTTCATTTTGTTCATTTGTAAAAAATAATAATAAAGATTTATTTTTTTACAAGTACACAGAAATTATTACACGATGTACTTAGTTATTATTTTCTTTTATCATTCCATTTCTTTTCATATTTTTTGTTGTTTTGTATCGTTTCGATATTCGTTTAAATCTAATTAATATCATACAAGGTATTTTGTTGTTGTTGTTGTTAATTAATTCTCGTAACAAATATTTTAATTACAACGTTACACACGAGATAATCCTTTAAACACGAGTTGACGCATTTTTTTTTTAAACGCAAACGAAATACGTCAACTACTTTTCAATAATGTTCCGATGATAACGAAATTATACTAAATACTAATCCGAATTGGTGATAGATTATACAACAATCAAATTATGCGAATTATTTACAACGACGATAAGGAAAATATTTTATATTTTCCTGTAAGTAAAAACAAACTATATATATAAACAAGAAAGTAAAAAACGCGCAACAAAAATAATTACGCAAAAGTCTTTTGAGAATTTCGACGAACCCCACGTCGAAATTTCTTCATAGATTAAATCCTCCATTTTGTTATTTTACTTATAAATTTAAACATTTTTTTTAAAACAACGCTCGCTAGGATGTCTTTTGAAGAACAACAGTGCTCGTGCCAGGTACAGCTATTCCTCCACCCCCTCCTCCAGTTTGCGGTGGTGGTGACGTTGAAACGCCAAGATTATGGGTCAGAGAATGTCGCCTAAGATCGCAATTTCTTCGAAATACTTTGCCACAGGAGGCACAGTGATAAGGTTTGATATCTGTATGAGTTAACAGGTGTGTCTTCAAATTGCTCCTTTGATTGAAACTTCTCGCGCAAACCGGACACTTATGGGGTGATTCTTCCATATGTAAAATCTTGTGAACGGCCAATGTTCTGCTCTGACAAAATCCTTTTCCACATTCGGCGCACTTGAATGGTTTTTCTTTACTGTGAATGTACCTGTAATTTGATGACAATAACGAAAAAAAAAATAATAAATTACGATAATAAATATCCCGTTGGATTTTAAAGTGATTTCAATGCGTGGTAAAAAGAGATTTCAATGCTTGGTAAAGAAAGATGTCAATGCTAGATAAAATATTCAAGGAAAAAATTCAAAGTAAAATGGGTGAGTTTTGAACGTACCTATGATCTCGAAGATGATCTTGCCGTCGGAAAGCTTTGCCACAAATATCGCAGGAGTATGGTCTCTCGTCGGTATGGGTTCTTTCATGTATCAATAAGTTATAACTCTTAGTAAATTGTCGGCTACAAAACTTGCAGATAAATTGTTTCTTCGGTCTTGACGCTCGACAAGATTTTTGTATACCAGGATCGACAATAGAAGTTGAGGTTGCTTGTAGGGTAGTATTGGTATTATTTGAATTGGAAGAATAAGAAGTAGTGGAAGTCGATGATGTTGACGAACATAGGGAGGAAGATGAAGTGGTTGTTGTAGATGGTACTTGGTTGTTGATTTGTGAGATCGACGTGATAGAATTCGAACGATTTCCTTCGGATATTCGACGTAAGAGAAGTTCGTGAGAATTTGTAGAAACGTTTGACGAGGAGGATGAGGATGTGGCAATTCCTCCACCACCACCACCACAGGTGTCCCTTAAAAGTGATTCCTCTTCTTCCAAAAGGGCTAAATCCTCTTCGGGATCTGCGACGAATTCTAAACGAGCACCATCTTCGTCCTCGTCGATTGATCCATGAAGTTGTTCGGTTTCTAATTGTTGTTGTTGTTGCTGATGATGATGATGATGATGATCATCATGATCATGTTTCGTGTTATCTACCATCTTCGTGATCGTTCTCGAATTAGTCGTAGTTGGTACGACGTTGGTTTCATCCAAATCCGTGTTTAACGATGGTGAACATCTTTGTTGATTAACAACACCGGCCGTAGCAACAGCACCGCTCGCTTGAAGACGATGAAGGGTTAGATAAGTATCAAGAGCTTGAAGATTCAAAGCAGCGACCGCAGCATGATCGGGTGGTAACAAGGCTGCCCTTTGAAGGGCAGCCAATATTGCACTCTGTAGACCGAGGGCAACGCTGTGAAGCGTGAAATTCGGTAAACTCGATTCTACCGCGATACTGGTAGCAGCAGCATCTACTTGCCGATGATCCTCTTCCGTCATCGCGATAGTCGTCGTGTTAGACGAGGAAGAAGATGATGGCATTATCGTAATTCCTCGTTGATCCTCTTCCAATTCTTGTTTATCCTGTTGTTGCATCCTCCAACTTCAACGAGATCGTTCCTTATAGATCTCGGGAATGCAATTTCTACAACGAATATTATTCCCGTTACCATTCGGCAACGGGATCTGTTGCTTACACCTAACAATTAATTTCGTCTCCTTTAAATCCATACGAGTTAGCGATTTGAATATAATCGATCAATTAAAATACCTTCAAATCTAATCGTAATATATCAATTACCATCGTTGAAAATGCACTCTCGTAATAATAATCGTCGTAAATGATCAATTTGATCTCGATAATAAATAAATAATATTTATTTATTTATTGACAACAATTATTTGACGCGTTCAATTAGAAAATATTAATTTACGGGTGTAGTAAGTTCGTTCGTTCGTTCGATTGATCGGTCGATTGGTCTTGTTGTTAAAAATAAATCTATATATACATATATATATATATATATATGTATATGTATATGTATATATATATACATATACATGCATACATATATACATATATATATATATATATATATATAACGCGAAATTCGATCGTGGGAAAATGCTATATAATGGAAGAAGAAGAGAAAAGAGAAAGCGACGTTAGCACTAGATGCTGGCGGTGCGAAGGCGCTCCGAAGACTGCTCCTGCCGAGCGCTGCTGGGCACTGCTGGTGGAGCCACCTGGTGGCAGGTATCCGAGTCGAAATGGGTCCGTCCACCACGAGCGTGTACAGTACAGGGCCCGTATTCGGAAACTTACAGCGCGGGAAAAAGACAGAAATAGAAAAAGAGAAAGAATGAGAGAGAAAGAACCCACAGCTGGGCCCCGTAAGCTTCGACGACGGGCTCGGCGTGTAAACGTCGCCGTAACGTAATGGTACGTGCGTGACCGGAGAACGTGCGTATCTATCTCTCTCTCTCTCTCGATCTCTCTCTCTCGATCTCTCTCTCTCGATCTCTCTCTCTCTCTCTCTCTTTTGTTCACTATACCTTTCTCTCTTTTCAGTACGTGCGTGCGGGGGAGTCCCGATGTCGAGAAGACTCCAAACGGCGCCTACTATTTTGTCGGATATCTAGCAAACCGACGCCTTTCTCTCTCTTTCTCTTCCCCTCCCCCTCTTCCTCATCCTCATCCTCTTTTTATATATCTCTTTCCGTTCACCAGTAAGAATCTCTAAGATTACTTCCTTCTCCATTACGAGGCTCGATAGTAGAGGTTTTTTTTTAATTTTAGTTTGCTGTTTAAAACGTAATGGATCGATCTTGACGCCTAATATTTTATTATATCTTCGTTACCATGTAGAGCGCACGGGGCCCGTGCTCGTTTGATTCATGCTTATACCTTTTTTCTTTTTCCTGTATACATATAAGTCTTCTGTATAATCATAATAATATGATTTTAACACGATCGATAATAAAGATAGGATAGTTGATGCTTAAAAATGCATCTACTATACTTGCACACATATATATTAATATAGTTATATGTTTGTTTGAACATTAGAATGCATAAAGAATATCAATGATAAATGAAAATGGAAAAAATGGAAGAATGAGTGAGACGATAGGAAAGAAAGGGTGGTGGTTGTTGCTGTTGCTGCTGTTGCAAACAAGAAAATGAGGGTGTTTGTTTTCTAACTACTAGAAAAAAAAATACTTTAATATTGGCGATACATACAAACACTCATACACACATACACCCCGTTGATTTTACGTGAGCGCACCTTCCTTTTCCATCGTTTCGACTTGGTAAGGCAGACTCGGTAAAGCCGCAACAATTTACGACGGCAATTAATGCGCGCGAGTAAACCGTGTATAACGCCTATAGTTAGCTCAGGCTCTTCCATGAGTCCAGGACATGACGTAAGTTGAAAACAGAGAGAGAGAGAGAGAGAGAGAGAGAAAGAGAGATAGAAATAGAGAAATAGATAGATAAAGGATAGAAAGAGTTAGAAAATTTCTGTAACCTAAAGGAAGAAGGAAGAAAAGGAGAGCGAGTTACAAGATGGAGAAAGAGAAAAAGAGAAATAAAATGAAGTAAGGGGGAGGGAAAGAAGGAGAGAACTGATCGAAACCAAGAGAGGGGAGTCGAAGAAGAGAAGAGAGCCGAAGCAAAGCATCGAGCAGACTAAATAATATTATAGGTGGTGTTCTCACGGTCTCGGGACGCCCGCGGGCCAGCTCGTCAGCTATCTTTCTCTCTTTCCCACTTCTTCTTCTTCTTCTTCTTCCTCCTCTTCTTCTTCCTCCTCTTCTTCTTCCTCCTCTTCTTCTTCTTCATCGTCTTCCTCTTCTTCTCGTCTTTCTTCCCTACTACAAACCCACCTTTCACTCCCCCGCTCGCGCGTAAACTTCGCCCACGCCAGGCCCTCTGTCAGTGAGAGACAGAAAAAATGAAAAAGAGAGAAAGAGAGAGAGAGAGAGAGAGAAAGAGAGAAGGAACGAACGAATCTCAACGAATAAAGACGAAGACGCACGACGGGTCAGAGGTCAGCCCGCGCTCGCTGACCGTCACCGCGGACGGTTCCTCCCGACCCCTTTCCCCTCTATCTTTCTATATTCTTATTATTCTTATTATTCCTCTTCCTTAACCCTTCCCTTCCATTCCCTTCCCTTTCATTCCCTTTCCTTTCTTTTCCCCTCATCCTACTTTTATGCTACACCAACTTCTTTTCCTTCTTCGATTTTTTATTCTTTTTTTTTTTTCATCTCTGCCTCGAGTTTTATTTTCTTTTTTTGCATTTGACTTCTTTCCCCCCCCCCTTAGAAATCTCTCATCTACCCCTCTTCATTTACAACGTCTTCGAACTCGTTCAATATTTTCTTCCAATATTTCCATCTCAACCCTTCTGCTACTTGTTTTGCTTTTCTCAAATTTTTTTTATGGTCTTGGTTTGTTTTAAAAATATTCCATAAAAATTTCGCATTGTTTTAATTTACTTATTACAATTCATTCGTAATGATTTATATTCAAATTCTCCTTGGGGGGGGAGTTGCAATGCAAGAATACAACATAACCTAAAAATTCCTTTACGAGATTATTAACATTTGTATTAAAAAACGATGTCATACCATTTGGATTTGATTGGTTTGCATATTTTATTTTTCCTTTAAATATTTGGAATATCGATCGACAATTTGAGTAGGAATGAAATCACGGGTAACTGGCCTTTTAACTTTGCCTTGGCAAAAGGTTAGAAGCGCCATTAGTCTCGTCGACAGATAAAGTAACGTGGCGTGACATGAGAAATTCCTCGCGATCAACGCTATACGTTTAAAACACAAAAGAGGATCTCTCCCTGGTTGAAGCTTCTCTACGTGATCCTATCACGATTTTCCCCTAACCAACCGTCTTTACCCTTTCAATGTCTTTGTATTATATATTTATACATATACATATACATACGATTTATACACGACACGAATTCAAAGATCGATCGTGACGAGAAATGATCGAACGTGAGCGGCACACTTTCGATTACTGTAAATCTTATTCTTATATTTTATTTTTTTAAAGAACACACACCAATTCTCAAAAATCAATTCAACAACAAACAAAAATGCCAGTGCAACTAAAAAAACGAAGCCACCCCCTAAAAAAAAAAGAAAAGAAACAAAACCAAAATATATTCAAATGCACAATGTTTCAATTTACCAAAGTTGCAACAGAATTGCACACCCAAAATTTTTGCTTTCGAAGATAAACCAATAATTTCTATTGATGATTAAAGAATTTAATTAACAAATAAAAATACCACTGCAACTAAAAAAACCAAACCTACCCTCCACCCCCAAATAAAAAACAAAAGAAAAGAAAACAAAGCCAATAAAAAAGCAGCCCAAAAATAATAAAGAAAGAAATTAAACTATGTAATAGAGATGTCACAGTCCCAAAAAAAAATTCAAAAGTGGGTTGAAATAATCGTATCACAATATACAATATAATAAAAGATGAGTGGTGTAAGCATAAGTGAAGATCGGTGGTAAGCTTTGGGATTCGATTGGTCTTCCCTGATGCGAACCAGATACGGGATCCAGAAGTGAAGAAAGGGTTTAGTAGAAGATGGTACACGTAAGTCTTTTAGTAGACAGAAGAAGGTACTACCACCTCACCCCCTGTTCCTTTTTCATGCGTGAGAAGAACCTCTCTCTCTCTCTCTCACTCTCTCTCTCTCACTCTCTCTCTCTCACTCTCTCTCTCTCACTCTCTCTTATTCTCTCTTATTTTCTTTCTCATTCTCTCTCATTCTCTCTCACGTATAGGGCTTGTTCGCGCGTTGATCTTATTTCTTCTTCACGATGCCGTGAAGCTCAGAGGGAGGCCGCGACTTCCCGCCGCGTAGATAATTAGATCGCTACTAACCACCTCCACTTTGACGCATCTTCACTTCCGTACTTGCATACACACCGGCTCTGGCGCTTCTTCCTTTTTTTTACTCTTTTACCCTTTCTTTTTAACCCTTTCTATCTATCACCATCTCTTTCTCTCTCTCTCTTTTTTATATTATCACAATTTTTCTTCTAATTCTTTTCATAACATTGTTATTATTATTATTATTATTTTTCGTTTACTTTCTTCATTCTTTTTTGCTTTTTTGTTTTCTATTCTCGTATTGTAAGCTTCCCCCCCGCGGATCAGGTTATCGAAAGAAATTAATATCTTTCGTTGAGGTTAGATTAGTCTCTTTATAATAAATTTTTCGATGATCGATCGTTTTCTACTTTAGTTTGCAAAATCAAAAAGAAAAAATTATCCCCATCTAAAGAAAAATAACCAATCGGAACAAATGATTAAATAATATCTGGAAAAATCCCTCAACCCCAATTTGTGTATCTAACTTGCATAGAATTTCGTTTGGTTTTAATTACCGAACCTAACCTAACTTAACCGAACCGAGTGTGATTTCTAAAACTATGTTTTTCGAGTGATTCAAATAAATCAAATTTAAATAAAAATCCCTCCACCCCCATTATAATTAATTTTTTTGGATTTTTAAAATTCGAAATGAAATTTAGTTAACTACATTGCATTAAATTTCGTTTGGTTTTGGTTACCGAACCTAACCTAACTTAACCGAACTGAAGAATGATTTCTAAAACTATTTTCCAAGCGACCGAATATAAGTGCTCCCTGTCGAGAACCCGGTATATTATCTCCCTTTTTATATTTTTTGTTCAGTTGGTACGTTAACAATCCAGCGAAATAAATGTGATACTTTCAGCACTGTAGCCGCCGCCACTTATTCTTCTTGCATCGTCGAGTCAGTCTCGCTTAACGCGCATAAATAA